AAAAAAAAGAATGAAAAAAAAGAAAGAAAAAGTAGACCAGTGAACTATACAGGGATATTGGACAAGAAAGTGAGAGAAGCTCCTGAGACAGCGCCTGGCCACCTCCTGCCCTATTAACCCTTGGCTATTTTCCCACAGGAGCATTTCGAGATGCTGTGACTACATAGCCAAGAAGCTAAGTTCCTTCCCAGTCACTGCTAGAAAAAGTGAGAGCCTGAACTATGAAATTTCTCAGTTTAAGAGCTTGAGTTGTTGACACATTTCGAGAAGAAAAAGGAAATTGGAAAGCTTGGAACAAATAATCTTCTTAAAAGAGAATACGTCATGGCGTTTATCCTGGTAGTTGTGTCAAATTAGATGTGTCGCTTGAATAGATTTGCTTTAAAATAAATTACTGCTTTTACTTATCACTGATAAAACCTGATTAAAATAACTAATAATAACTGCATAACTCGTGTTTGTTTAGTTGAAAGTTTTTTGGTTTATTTGTATTTATTTATTTGAATAACTAACTTGTGCTGTATTTCCTTATATTCCTGTATGTTATAATTTCAGGATTTCTAGTGCTAGTCTAACTAAATTGCCCCCAGAACAGCAATGTTTGAGAAAGCCCCTCTTGGTTAGGATGTCAGCTGTTCAGTACCAGACATCTGTCATCACCAGATTCAGAGCACAGAATTCATGTTTTGTGCTGCTGGAGCAGCTTTGCCACATGCATTTTCTGCCGGGGCCTCTCCTACCTGACAACTGTAAAAATTGTAGAGGTTGTTTACAACTTACCTCAGTTAGCAGTAGGACTAACAATGCTGTGTGAAGGTCTGTCAGTCACGATATCTTACTCAGAACACCAGGAGCAACCTATCTGCAAATAAATGGGCAGTATTTACAGAGACTAGTGGTTTGTCATTGTCTTATAAAAAGAGTTAATCATAAGAATAATTTGTTTCAAACTGGATTCACTGTTTTTGAAAATAATAGTAAAAATAAACATTGCACGTTGTTATATGACAATGGCGTTGAATAACTCTACTGTAAAACATTTTTACCCATATATTTAGCATACAATGAAGAAAGTTGTTGGGTTTTTTTTGTTCTTTGTTTTTTGTTTTTTACAACATTTACAAACAAAAAGCATCCTCCTAGTCTGTTGAAAATGGTCTCTAACAGAGGAACAACGACAGCATTAGCTCATCCATGCAGGATAAGTCATTGTAGCACTCTGTAACCACGTAAATGTCCTATAAATTCACTGAGAGATACAGTCAGCCTTCTGTTCTGCTTTTGATGTCAGCAAGTATGCTGGTCCCCACGACATGGGAGTCAGGAATTCAGTTAAATGTCTTCAAGATTTCTTATCTTCCGCTGCACGCTCCAAAGTGCAGCATGAGAGCTCTTGGCTGGTGAATTGCAGCATTACAATTGGCAGAAGGAGACAACTGATTGGAAGGAAATTACATGTACTTGTCCACTAGTGAATTTCTCTTCATGTGTTTGTTTTTTGTTTTTGTTTTTGTTTTTGTTTTTTCCCCTTCTTTTAACCCTCTTAATAAACAAATAACTTCTAAGACTGAAATTATAAAAAGTATAACCTGTGGAACCAGGGCACAGGAGTTTATTGTCTCCAATATTTCCAGGTGTGTCTGTTTGGTTCCTTCTCTAGTGTGTTTTAGAAAATAGTAATTAAAATCAAGGCATAAAGTATCAAAATCAATAAAAGACATCATAGAAGTGTAGTCCTGGTTTGGAGCTCACCATCTAATCCATTCCTGTATCTGGAGAGGGATCTGATCCACCTGCAGTGTTCATCACAACTGCTTTTGTATATTGTTTATAAACATATTCGAATTTTTTTGCTTGTTTTCAACAGGTTTTCATTTTCCTCATTAAGCCAAATGTTTCTTGCTTAGTCTTTTCAGGCAGTAAAAAAAATTGACTCTGTCCTTAATATTCTTTCATTTACATCGCTCACTGCCTCCATCTCATCATTTAATTAGTAAATTAAACAATGCCCATTCTTCAAAGTCTTTCTCAGATCTTGTATTCTGTAAATCTACCATTGCTACCACTTTTTCCCCTGGAGTTCTTTTCCCTCTGATGCTGCTGTGCCTAAAATTAGACACAGTGACCTCAAACTATGACTTCAGCACTGCTAAACAGAGCAGAATAATTACCTCCTGTGAGATGCACATAATACTCCTGTTAATATTTTTCAGAATTAAATTTGTCTAGTTTTGCTTTTTTTGGATCTTCTTTTCTGATCCCTAGTTCACAATGCACAGTAACTACAGAAACACCTTTTGTACAAGATCCTTTTGTGTGTGGCTGGCAGGCTGCTGGCAAGTCATCAGCAGGTTGAAGGTGTCCCTGTAGTAGAGATCCCACTGTGACCAGAGCATCCGTAAGTTCTAAAAAGCATTTTTTAGCAGACATTAGATTTTCTCTGGGACACTGTCACGTTGAGCAAAGGTTTCTCTTTCTGTCCTCTAACAGTCATCTCTGTTACTTAACACTCTCACTAAATTTTTAATTAAATACTTCAACAGGGCTGTTTTTGTCAGCCTTTCTTGTTACCCTCTATTGCTATTGCAGTGAAGGGTTTAGAAACTTAACTTCTACGGGATACTTAAAGAAACAATTGGTGGTAAACATCTGCTCAAAATTCCTCAGTGATTAGAAAAGTTACTGTAAAGCCCCATCTGGGCAGGAAGCAACAGTTACTACAGCATCAGTGATGACTAATAGCAGGCTTGTTGCTATTGTGCTTGTCTGCAGACACCAACTCAGCTCTTACTTTGCAACATCACCGCCTGAATACTGCAGCCAACTCTGGTCACTGAGTTACAGAAGAAATCATGAAATAGGAAAGTACAAAGAGAACTCACTAGGAAAAACATGAGGCATACAAACAGACAGATAAACTAAATCTGATGGAAAGTGTAGCTGTTGAATAACCTTCTGTGAGTGGCTGATAGTGGAGTTCAAGAGATAGATATAAGAATCCTCCTTGTGGGCACTACTGCTATGCCCTCCCAGCCTCATTCTCTTGACTTGTGAAATCAAAGAAGGAAAATTTGCCATTTGAGGAAGAAGGGAATAGATTCTCTAGCTTAGAGAAGTGACATCTGAGCAGGCACGTGATGATTCAGGAATATAAGCCTCAAGCTGTAAGCATAAAGTGCATGGAGAACGGTAATAAACTATGTTGTATACAAAAAATTTTGGAAATTTAGATTTAAAACAATCTAAATCTAAACCTTTTCTTTGTTTCTTTCTTTGCCTAGGTAAACTTCTATGCTTAAAACCTTTATTTGCATAACAAGGCCCATGCTAAAGTTAAGTTACCTAGGCAACTCCTTATCAAAGATTGTTGCAGATGCCAAGAGGATAAAGGGATAAAAAACATGAATTAAAGTACAAAAAACATGCTCAGATTTTTTTTCTATAAGCCACAGACTGCTGGCAGGTGAGAGTTTTCTGTTCTGCCTCATTGCTCTTAGCTGCACAAGTGAACCAAATCAAGCTGATCCCCACATCTAGCAAGGTGCAGCTATATTTGAAACCTCCACGTCACAGTTGTTATAATCTCACCAGTGTCTATCTGCCTGTGTACTTTTAAGGACAGATTGTACACACATGCTGTGTGGGTCACAGCTGGAGGAGATGATCTCTGCTGCTCCCACATAGCCAAGTAGAATTGTCTGTCTGCCCCTTCAGCTGCCTGCAGGGGCTCAGCTGTGGCTTTGCCATGGCCTTTGAATAAGGATGGGGTTGTAACTTTGCTTTCCTAGAAGCAGAGAAGAGAATCTGTAATTTGGTTTCTTTCCCATGCCTTAGCATTGGTTTTATTGCTGTTGGTGATAAATGTTGCTTTGCTTTTCATGCTGGAAGGAGAAGGCACCCCAGAGACTGCTCAGGAGATGGTAATCCAAAGGATGTCACAACACAACCACTTTGCTGTTTTACTCACCCTATGATCAGTTCCAGCTATTCTCATTAACTCATTTTTAAAATTTTTAGATTACTATCTGGTCATGAAAATCTAGATGAAGGACCATGTCAAAGTGAATGGACCCTTAATAGTCCAATAGGTATTGTCAAGATGTATCAATCAGTCAGATCATAATCTGACCTTTGGCATTGGGTTACATTAAATATGTATGTATCCAAAGGTTTTGTCTTTTTTTCCCCCCATCTCCTAGTGTGCTGGGCATTTGCTTCACAGAGGGTAAACAAGTACCTGCACCTGGAGATTAAATTGTTTATGCTGTGGATTGGCATTACAAACTTAGCAACCAAAGTGCAGGAACTAATCTGAAAGGTATGTAGAAGACCACACTAACAACACAGAGGCTTAGAGACACTGCCAGTGAGAGGCTAGCAACCATTACTATAGCAAACCATTAGCAAATACTCAAGCTGACCACAGTTATGTGGCCATCACAACCTGCAGCACAAAAACACATTGAGAGAAATAGCAACAAGATCTGTGTCTTTGTTATGGTGGCACACATCTATATGAATTTTTACCTGACAGTGAAATTGAAGCATTTATTTTCTTCTTTCATTTCTCACAGTCTTGGATTTTGAGTTTTACTGTTGGTGGTTTGTTTTGTTTCATTTATTATTTGTTTGGTTTTTATTTTGCTAATAAAATTCTTCTATGAAGATTTAGAGTGGAGTGGAAGAAAGGAGCACTAAGAACTTATCTACATTTGCTTAGCTATTTAATATGCTCATGCCTGCCTACTCTTTCAAAAGACTACTACAATGACAGATCCTTCAGTGTTGGATCGTGTGGCCCAGCTAAAATTCAAACTCCTAGAAAAGGTAAGTTAATAATTCTACAGTGATCACCTTTGCTCTGCTCTTTTTACTACAGGCATTTAAGTATAAACACTGTGTCTTAATCATATTTTTACTGTGAAACAAAAAGGACCTGCAGCCAGCTGAGAACCTTGTTCAGCATGCAAGCTGAGGCAGAGCAAGTTGCATTTGTAGAAATGATTGTTTAATGTACAATTAAAATTTAAAATAGGCTTTCCAAAGTGGAGTAGTTTGTCTTAGATGTGGCAGTAATTTGAGGACAAAGCTTTCACTAGTAGGGAAGTAGGTAGAACTCAGGAGCCAAAAGTGTGCTTGTGCTAAGGAAAAGCTCTTCAATTCATAGATCAGGTGGGCACAAAGTCCATCTGGTCCCTAAAGATCAGAAAGTTGAACATAACAGCATGACTGTTTGGGAAAGAGACTGGCCCAAGCGAGCCAGAGAGAGTGGCTGGGTTCAACCAAATGTCCAGGTCCATCAAGCAAGCTTATAAAACTAAGGAAGGTCCAAAGCCAAGATAGAAGGCATCTGCAAGTTGGAATCAGAGCTCCTGAAACCCATGGCTAGTCATAAGCTTGGCACTGCATGAACTGGAGACCAGTATTTATTCGGTATAGCTTAGACAGGATCTGAAGACCTAGAGCTGAGATTCTAAGGACACCCCAGCATGTGGGCAGAAGATGTGAATGGAAGTTCCAGGTGAGGCTGGTTTAAGACTCCTAGTGCACTGAATACCCAGAACTCTGGAATCAAGCTCTCCATATGCTTTAGCTCTCTACCCTACAAAGTAAGTGATGCATAAGTCTCCTGATTCACTGTGCTATCAGTTCTCATGTCTGAGATGGCCAGACCAGCAGGAAGTATGATTACTCTTTTGCTGAGAGTAAATTTATAGTGAGACTGTAGCAGAAATGCTACATCATGGCTTGAAACAGTAATCAAGCACCTGGTTGCAAGGCAGGGCCAGCCCATGGTAGCTCAGGTGCATGTAATATGCCTGAGTGGCCAGAAGGGGAAGAGCCAGGAGCCACCCATTCCCACACCTCATTAAAGGGTTGGCAGTGGAGGTGAGGGTATCTCTCTAGATATCTCCATACACCTGAGGTCTTCTGGAGGTAAGCAGCTTTTTTTCCACCTTATTTCTCTGTCTGCTGCTGTTACGTTTGAGTAAATCTTCACTTTCTGCAGCTTGGAATTTTGTTGCTCTGCTGTTGTTGTTGCACTTACCATTGTGTTTCATGAGACTGTAGTTCTGCGGGGTTTTTTACTTCCTACAGGCCTTGCTAGCTGTGACTTAGTAGAAGTGTCCCTTATTTCCACTTGTGATTTATTTTCTCTATCCCAATCTCACTTGAATTGTTGTGAGCTTTTCTGCCTAACTCACAGTTGGTTTTCTGTGTGTTTTTTTTTCTATTAGAGACTAGAAAATGAACAGAAGAACCTAGAGAAGATGGAGTCACCTCTTCCTACAGCAAGTAAGAGAGAAGCGTTTGTTCTGGTTACCACCTTGAAATGGAAAGGGCTTAGGGATGCTTTCAGTCATGAGTTCCTTGATAGATCACACTGGGTGATTCTGTATTCTCTCTAAAAGCTACTATGGGCCTCTGGCTCTGAGTGCTTTGAGGCCAGGAGTCTCAGTAGTTGGAATTTACTCTGTCTCAGCTTCTGTGATAGGGACACTTTTTGGTGGATGAGAAGAATGAGCCACAGTGAAATCAGTGCTGTCTTTGCTTGGCCCAGGCATCTAAATCTGTATGTAGCCCTGGGGATCAGAAGTTACAAATGTAAGTTTCAGTGAAGTGTGAACAACAGTGATGATCTGTATATGAATGTCAGTCCTAACCAAGATGGTACATTTTAGAGGAATTAATCTCATAATGTAAGTGTTATAGTAATCTTATCCTTGCGATCCTTTAAGAATATAATGTTTTTTTCCTCCTTTAGGCAACAGACGTGAGGATATGCTTCAAAGTGCTTTGAAGAAAAGGAAAAATCTCCTGCAGGAGCTTAAGGTAAAAACAGTACTTGTCAAGTGTGACTGTGTAAAGTGTCTGGTTTAACATAATGAGCATAAGAGTAGAATTTGAAGGGTGGAATCTCATGCTGTTTTAAGCAAGCACTGAGAATTTTCTGTGAGAAGTGTGGTTTTCACTAGAGAGATGAGGAGAGGCTGGTGGGAAGCTGAACAGGACTCCCTCTATGTCAGCACATAGTGCATTGATTCTATTTGTTGTAAGCTGCTATATCATAAACTCTCTGGATTCCAAAATGCAATCAAAGGACTCTTTAATGTTGCCAAAATAGGAACAACTATTACTTAAAATCGTATGTAGAGAGGATCAAGTATTAATGAAATATTTTACTAGAATTTGTTCTTCACTTTTTTCTACTCTCCCTTGTACTGAAAATTGTATACCCTCAAGATATGCAGGAAGAAACACTTTGTTTTCACTTGTTCCAGCTCTGACATTCCTTCATGCAGCATTCACTTGTGGTTTGCCTGTTACGCAGCAGTTTCTGCAGGAGTGTTGTAGGTAGAAAAGCTGTACTCTGCTGCAGACTCCCAGAGGTTTGGCCTATTTAATCTAATGAATGCAACAACACTGCCAGCCTTTCTGTGACCAGATTTTCTTCAAAGAAATTACCTGATTTTGCAGGAGCAGCACCTTCTGGAGGAGCTGTTACAGCCTTCTGCACCAGCTGGGGGACAGTATAGGAACTACAGTGCTGGTCTCCCACGCATCTACCAGATACCTTTTCCAGCATCTCGAGCTGAAACACCAAGGATTATCCAACAGGCGGTAAGGATCGTCGCTCCTAGGAAACACTGGACAAATCCTGCACTGACTTCTCCATTTTCTTTTCTTATCCAGATGCCTCCTCAGCCTGCCATGATCATCCAGCAGCTCCCACAGCCACCCCCACTGATAGCACAGATCCCCACTGCCCAACCCTTTGCACATCCTCGCTCTGGAAGCATTAAAGAAGGTACCATTCACTAGGACTAGCTGTCAGGTCCCGCTACCAGAAATACCCAGAAAAGGTACCAGCTGATACTCAGAAAAGGTGCCGCTGCAAAGGAAAGAGGTCAGGGGGAGACCTTTTCCAAGCATTCAAGTCAGTGATGTGCTCTGTCACTACCAGGACTGTGGGAATTGCACTCTGCAAAAATAGAGATCAGTTCTCAGAAGTTTTTGGACAAACTCTTCTTGCTAAAACAAATGAAATGGCACGATAAACTTGGCAAAGCAAAGTTGAGCTGTCAGAAAACCTGAGGGAATTAAAAGCTGCTCAATCCAAGGCATTGAGTGTACCAAGGTGAAACTCATGTAAATGGATGATTCTAAAATTCACAAATAGGCTTTTAAAATCCATTTTTTATTCTTTTTGTCCCACCTTAACCTGCTGTTCAATTTCCTTAGCAGTGTAGACTTAAAAGTGCTGAGTTTGGGGGGAAAAAAAGCAGAACAACTGACAGTGTTTCAAGTGTAGTGCAGTGCCAAGAATGAGAGGTTTTTTTTTCTAAACATAGATGCTACTGTGAAATGATACCTGAACAAAAACTTGGGTTGACTTCCCTGGCTCATCCCTCTGTCAAAGGCTTTCTTCTATCACAAAGAAAAATCCAGTTACTGAAGTGCTATGTTTCTCAACTATTTCTTAGCTTAAATGGCTGGATTTATTCAAATAGTAGTTTATTTTTGTAAATGAACCAGTCCAAACACATGCATGACTTTTCTGAAGTCGATACATTTAAAATATCTTTGGTGTGATTAAAAAGATTTCCTTTGCTTTTCTTCCTCTCCTCCCCCCCACTTAAAATACAAAGGATTTCGGGCTGGAGCACCTCCCCTATGAGGACAGGCTGAGGGAGTTGGGCTTGTTCAGCCTGGAGAAGAGAAGGCTGCGGGGTGACCTCATTGCAGCCTATCAATACCTGAAGGGAACCTACACCCACGAGGGGAGTAAACTCTTCAAAAGGGCTGACAACAGCAGGACTAGGGGAAATGGATCGAAGTTGAAGGAGGGAAGATTTAGGTTGGATGTTAGGGGGAAGTTCTATACAAGGAGAGTGGTTAGGCCCTGGAACGGGCTGCCCAGGGAGGTTGTGGATGCCCCGTCCTTGGATGTGTTTAAGGCCAGGTTGGACGGGGTCCTGGGCAACCTGATCTGAATGTGTGTGTTTGGTGGCCCTGCTAGGCAGGGGGGTTGGAACTACATGATCCTTGAGGTCCCTTCCAACCCGGGTGATTCTGTGATTCTGTGAAAGGATGCGTACTGTGTAACTAATTATGATCCAGTGTTATGTTGAGAGTCCACTGCATGTGCATCACATCCACTTAAGGTGGCACTGCAATATTGTGTAAAGCTGAGGAAGCCTCCAATGTGGGCAACAATGATCTTGAACCAAAGCTGTGGAGAGTGCCACATGGCTCCAGTCCATGCTGGAACAAGTGAGAGTTTCAGTACACAGCTGTTTTCTAGCCTGCCAGTGACTGTATCTACAGGGATGGGCTGGCAATGGAACTAAAGAAGATACTCCTCAACAGCAGCTTGCTTGTGAAGGGTGGGGGGATGGGAGATCTGGTGTGGATGGTCTTATTCATAGACATTAATTTTGCACCATCTGGGCACGTAACGCTAATGTTGCCATGTGTTGTTTTCAGCTACTGTGTCTCAGCTGCATTCATGAATTTGCACCTTAGAGAGCAGTTCCCACTGAGATACCCCTGTTGCTAATAAAGCTCTTACTTTCTTCCTTTGGGTGGCTTCTTCCCAGATATGGTGGAGATGATGCTGATGCAGAATGCACAGATGCATCAGATCATCATGCAGAACATGATGCTGAAGTCTCTCCCACCGATGACATTTGCACAGCCTGCCAGACCCAGCTACCCACTGCTTCAGCACACACAGCAGGTAGTGTTACTGTATCCAAAGGGCATCTTTGCTCATGTGGGGCAATAGTCATCCTGGACTATGTGAGGACTGGGAAAAAAAAAATTCTGCTGCCCATGGTTTCCTGCAGATTTCACATAGGTCCTTACATGTTGCTAAGCAGAACTGCAACAGAAAATGTTTCCCACACCAGTGCAAACTGGATTCAGTCTGGCTCTGGAATGCATGTACTAACAGACATAGAAGAGGCCTACAATGAGCATCTGCTGCTGCACTTGGGAGCCTAACTCCTGCTGACTATTGCTGAAACATCTGGTACAGCATCTGTAATGGTGTCCCCAGGTGTCTTCAAAACCCCAGTAATTCACCTCTAGTCAGCACGTAGCTGTATGGCTCAATTTCTGCCTGCTCACTGCGGGCAACAGGGGAATACTTGCTACAAATCCTGTAAGTAGTGAAATTGGACCTGGTGGTTCAAAACCAGCTGGAGCTGAAGCTCAAATTTTTGTGGTCATACTTGATTGGCTCTAGCCATTGTCTCACTGTAAATTGGGCATACCCAACCTGCAGTCTGGGCACGCATTCATTGCTCAGCAACAAGTGAACCATCGTTAAGCTGCTGACACAGCAGTGATAGAAACCAGGGAGAGCAGTGCTATGCAGCGTTGACTCAAGTGATGGCGAATAATTTTATGCATTTTGATACATTGGCTAAACCCAGGGCTTGGAACAGCGAAGAGTGTGCAGCTATGCTTGCCATTTTGATAAAGGAATTAGAGAACAGGCTTTAAAAGAATTGCAGAAAAGGATTCATCTATTTACGTTTGCAACTCCATTTTCAGTCAATACGAGTACATTACCTAGAAATTTTTGGAAGGGAAGTGTAGAGCTGCAATCAAATGTTCGACTGAAAAATCTGATTGTGTCTTCTTACCAAACTTTCATAACCCCTATTTTACCAGAGAGAAATATCCTTTGCTTCACAATCACAACTTGTTCATGTCATGACATGACACGATGTGCACTATTATTGTCAAGGATGGAGTACAGGAAGAGTAATAGTTCATAAAAAAATCTCGGATGAGCACCTTGAGGCCTCACTAAGAATTGCAGTAATTTACATCAAACCAGAGTGATGCATTAGTTTCACAAAAACAAGGCCAAATATCCCACTAGTTCTGCTTTTGTTGCTCTCTTTAAAAAAAAAAAAAAAGAAGATAGTTTAATTTTTAATATTTTTCTTAAAATATTTTGTTGCTTATATATTAACAATATTGGATGTATTACAAAAGCTACTCTGAAAGCAGTGCCTCCTGTTTTATGATGTTGGCCTATGATGTCAGAGGTGAATGTTGGCAGTATGGGAGAAGAGACTCAGCCTTCCGCTAGTATCCTGTCACTGTTGTTACCATGTGACAGATAGCAGCAAGGTGGCACTCTGACGGAATGGTGTCTGTCATGGAAGTACATCTGACATTGAATTCCTCCATGTGCAAAAAATGGCACCCATTGACGTTCATCAACACTTGCTGAAGGTTTATGGAAACCAAACACCGGATGTGAGCACAGTGAGGGTGGTGGGTAGTATGCTTCAGCAGTGGCAATAGTGGGTCACCTCTGCTGGTACAGATTTCTATGAGCGCAGCACACAGGTTCTTGTTCATCGCTGGAGAAAATGAATAGCTAATGATGGTGACCATGTTGAAGAAGTGTCTTATAGCTGAGAATTTGTCCTATCAAAGAGTGTTATTGTGCTCTTTGTGTCTGTTGTAATTTCTGTGGAAATAAATAGGAGGCATTACTTTTAGAGAAGCGTATATGTGGCCCAAGACAATTCCTGTTTGCTCAATGCAGACCAGACAAGCCAAAAGGTTGGATGCCCACGCTGTCAATCGATGACTAGCAAAGTCAAGAAGGACAGGTTTTATAGATATTTGTATTGAAATCCTCCTAGGGTTTTTTCCAAAACAAACCAAGTACTTATCAAACGATAGGTAATTTTGAACATATCCTTAGCTGCACAGTTCCTACGCTATTTTTAGCAGGATGCTGTCTAGCTCCTTAGTCATCTTAAATGCTTTGGAAAAATGTATTTCTGCTCTCTACTCTGAAGCATTTACTATCAAAGCAGCAAGGATTGTTCGTCTTTAGGGACTGGGGATATCTCTTGTCTTGAAAAATCTTCCCTTATACTTTTTCAGCCTCTCCGTTTTCAAGCTGACCGTGACTTTTCCCGATGTTGTAAGAGAGATTTCTGTTCTTTTTCTTGGAAAACCAAGGTAGTGAGATAGTAAGAAAGCAACTCCCATACTTCTGCAGTAGTTGCCCAGTTCGTTCACACCTTTCTTACCTGCTATATGCAAGGGCAATAAATAGCTTAAAAGCCCCTGTGGCCCACATTAAACTGTGGGGTGAAATACAATCTTCCATAATCCATCCCTGTGACCTGTGCAACTGGGAGCTGACAGCTTTTGCACCTGTTGAGACCAAATGTCTGCCTGAGATGGAAAGCCTTTGGCAGCAGCTGCTTGCTCTCCTGCTTCAGGGTACTGACATCCTGGGGGCCAGCACCATCACAGCCAGCATGCAAGTGATAGATTTGCTATGGAAATGGAAGGCAGCTTTGGGATTTCCTCAGAAGCGTCAGAACTGTGCTGAGCATCACCTCAGATGAAAGGGAGGCAGCAGAGAGACAGAGCATGTCCCTACAGTCTCCAGCATCCTTCCTAGGGCCACCAAAACCCCTTTGCTTATCTCCATCAAGGACCTGCAGCTCACTGCTCCTGTGGCTGTGAAAGCAGATCGTCCCTGGCTGTCTGCAGTGCATCACCACCACCACTACTCTCCCCCAGGGCTGGCCCTCCGTGCCATGCCTGCTGGGCTCCCAGTGCCAGGTGAGGGACTGCCGCCTGCATCCTCATCCCAGCGTTGGACCAGCAGCGTGCTCCCAGCTATGCAGATGTAAGTTGTTGGATTGCTGTGGCATGAACTGTTCAGCCTACTGAGTGGGGGCTGCCTACTCTTTGTATTCAGACTGACATTCCCCATGGGATTTGTATTCTTACAACACTGCTGAGATCCTCAAGTGGAGGTGAGTAGATTGCTCCTCCTAAGACTCACTTGCCTGAGCCTTCCCTGCACCTGGAATCTTGTCCTGAGCTATTTTCTAGTGCAAGTAAATGACACCACGGCCTGGTGCTTGAATGAGCACATGAGCAGACCCACTGCTCAGTGACCCACAGCCTACTAATGCCAAGGTGTTGTGGCTTAACTGGATCTGAGCAAAGAGCACAGTGTTCTTGCAATCTATGTCATGAGGAGACAGCAAAAAAGGCATGGAAGCAGCAGTATTAGGAAGTTCTCACATGCTGAAGCTGGGACTTTCTTCAAAGGCACTGTGTAGAGCATGACTGGGTGGCTGGGGACTTTGGGACAAGGAAACACTGCTTTTATGTCTGTGCTCCATCTTTTCCAAAGGCTTAGTGAGCAGAAGGAAAGGATAGAAACACATCTTCTGGCATGGGGAACCTACTGCCATGAGTATCTGTATGGCCCTCTTTAGCATGTGATTTGGACTCCTGAAAAGATTCTTTACTGAATGGAATTGCAGGGGCTATACATTTCTACCCCTTCCTCTTTTACATGCTTTTGTAACCTCTGCTCATAATGAGCTCTTGGCTCCTTCCAGTATCAGTGCAATGAGCTGTTGCTTAGCTGTTTGCAGAAATCAGTAAAATCATCTCATCACAGCTTTTAAGCTGCCTTTTTCCTCTTCATCATGAATTATAAGATCCTACACATCTTTTTTGTTTTTATACAGCTGTGACAAGCGTGTGTGTTGGCTATTACCAAACACAAGGTCATTTTTCTTATTGCAGGTGGCCCACCTACTGACAGCATGTGTTCCTCTGAAGGTGGACAATTGCATCGCTGAGTTCAACCTGCTTTTGAGCTGTTCCTAAATAATCTGATGGTCTGTGCATCTGCAAATCATCCATACAGTAAATGAGCATAGAAAGACTGGAGATCGACAGAACAAATGTACCACATGCCTGTAGTCTTCTCACCCCTTTCTGCCAGTGCAGCTGCTTCCTCTCATATGCCAAACCCAGAGCAACAGCAGCACCTCTCTTTTGCCTCTTTCGAAAGAACCAAGACATCTTGTCCCAAAGAGCCTCACAGTGGCACTGGGACGTGAAATAAATATAACACTAGTATTGTCTAAACTATTGCAAATGAGTATGGCTCACCTTCAGGACTGAGTCCCTTCCATGTGTACTTTGGAGAAATGCTCCTTTGCAGCCTTCACGGGGGCTAATGCAGACTAACCCAGACTTCATGAATGGAGCTCAGTTGCCAAAACTCATCAACCAAAGTGTTCCTCCTGTATTGGGCTTGCATGGCAAGGTTTTGGTAGCAGGAGGGCTGTAGAGTGATCTTTGAGAAGAGCCCAAGAGCATGTCATTTTTTGGTAAAAGGCAGCACTCTGCCCTAATTGCTTTACATGGGCTGACAGGGATTGTAGTATTTGAATAAATAATTTTCAGTAGGGAAAAGAAGAAAAAAAGTAGCTCCTGCAGTCATCGCATGTGATCATCTCAGTGGAACATCACTACCCTAATATCTGCAATATTCTGCCCCAGAAAGTCTCTCTCAGTCTCTTCTGAGCCTCATATTCATGATGCTACCCAAGTTTTTCTTTTCAAAGAGCTGTTGGAGGGTGGCTTCAGCAGCCTGAACTTGTGTATATTTCTGTATTTCTCAATCTTTCTCTTGCATTATCAGAGTTTCTCCTTGGGGGAAAAAAATGAAAAATAATTTAAAAAAAGATTCCCAAGGTCCTTCCTTGAATATTGGCATGTTTTTGTTTGTTTGTTTGTTTGTTTTCCTAAGGAACATAAATCACACTTTTTCCTTTTTTATTTTTCCTATTAATTTGCAGTTGCTAAGCATTAAAACCCATGCCATCCTATTCTTTTGATTTTGTTTTAGAACTCAGGAGACCCAAGTTGTAACTAAGTGATGAGCAACATCTTTCCATCAGCAGCCTCATTATGTTTAATAGAGAAAGAAAAACCATGAATTAGTAGCACCTTCTCAATGTCTTCCCACGTTCACCTGTTTTTAAACTGGGGTTTTCTACTGTAGGAATGAGGAGGTTGATAACCCCAAATGCTGCCATGGTTGATGAAATATTCTTCCAAACTAAAAAGAACATATTTTTATGTATAAATTTTTTCCTCAAAATTTTCCTCAGTCTAAAGCAAGTCTGAGAAAGATATTTGGAATTATTTGTCTACCCAGGACAAAGCATATTGCACTGGGCAAATATAATTCCTGACAGGTGAGGTTTAGTCCCATTTGCCAAGAATTGTTTTCAGTAAGTAAGCAGACAAGTGTGACAGAAAGGAGCTGATCAGTACCATCTTGGAAGAAAAACTTTCAACCTGTATCAGTGCTCAGAGTCTCCACTGCACTTGGGGCTCTTGGTGAGAGGTCAGTCCAGCTGTGGACATTCCGGAAAAACATATGTTTGGCAACATTTCCCAAGTCCCTCATTTTCTGTCCTCCATGCATTTACTGGGGGTAAATTACCCCATCATCATTAACGAAGACGTTACAGAGGACCAGATCCAGTATTCACCCCCTAGCGTACTCCACTCGCTACTGGCCTCTCCCGACAGGAAGAATCGAAGTTGCAAACCATTGCTAAGGCTGCTTGTGCAGCCCTGGTCTAGCTGCCTAAAAGGGCAGTTTTACAAGACCAGCTTCAGCAACATGACTGTACATTGTGTTATCCTCAGGAGTCCAAGAGTTAACTGGTATATCTTTAAGGGTTGTTATTAAAATGGCAAGCCACAGTAGTGGAGCAATCTGGAAAGCTTACGGGACAAGAGCACTAAGAGCAATATTTCCACATAACTGCCACTGCTGGAAGTTAATGATGTCTGTGCTCTGAAAACAATTAACAAATAATTTTACTGCTGTTTACTATGCAAAACTTACTTCACATTCTACCCTCTCCCCCCTGTTGTGACCATTTGCTGCATGAAGGCCCTGTGAGATGAAAAAAGGACTCAAAAACAGAGAACGGTGATTTAAGTTTGGCACTGGGAGAGCTCTGAAGCATGCAGGAGTGATAGCGTGTTGAAACAGGTCATCTACAGGGTTGTACGAGGTACACTGCATGGGAGCTGGAGGTCAAGCAGACACAGGGCTGAGGGAGAGCTGATCTTGCCTTGGGCAGGCTTTTTAGGTCCCTCTTGTCAGGTGGGTATGTGTTAGTCAATTAGCTTGCATGGGTCAAATAACTGTAGTATACATCAGAAAAATCCTACAGAGCATCTTCCGTGGCAGCAAGTTTACATGCAGTGCCAGTGGAATTTAACACCCCTGATCAGCCCCACCTGGGCCCCTCCCAGTGCTGGAGTTTGAGGGTGGGCAGCAATCCCTTTAAAGGGCCTGTGACTCTTTCATGATATTGACTCTATAATACGGAATTATAGCATGGCTTGGGTTGAAAGAGACTTCAGAGATCATCTATTTCCAATGCCATTGCCATGGGCTGGCATTGGAACTAGAAAACTGTACGCAGTACTGCAGAAGGTACCTTACGAGGGCAGAGTAGAGATGGACAATCACTTCCCTTACCCTGCTATATCCTTCTATTGATGCAGCCAGGAAATACTGGCCTTCCAGGCTGCAGAGCACGCTGCTGGCTCATATACAAGTTAGAATCATAGAATCACAGAATCACGAGGTTGGAAATGATCTCTAAGATCATCTAGTCCAACCATCTCCTCATCACCTTTGCCACCACAAGCACTAAACCATATCATGCAGCACATCGTCCAGACACCTCTTGAACATTGCCAGGGACGGCGACTCTACCACCTCCCTGGGCAGCCATTCCAGTGCCTGACCACTCTCTGAGAGAAATAGTTCTTCCTTGTGTTCCTAAACCTCCTCTGATACAACTTGCGGCCATTGCCCCGTGTCCTGCTCGTTGCCTGGGAGAAGAGGCCAAATCCCTCTCCCAGCCTCCTTCAGGAAGTTGTAGAGTGCAATGAGTTAGGGTGGATTTGTCACCATATGTGTGCCTGGTGATTATGAGTCTGTGTCTGACTGACACCAGTGAACTTGGTCCTGACCTCAAGTTTGTCTCATCTGCACTGAGTTGTCTTCCAGCCTGGGCCCTTTTCTGCCACCATGGGCCTGACCTGCTTACCTTGCCTGGCAGTATGGGCTGGGACTCTGCCCTGCAAGGCCCCCACTTTGCCGGTATTGCACTTGCTCCCTTGTCCATTGCAAGCAACTTGCCCTTACTGCTCCAGAATGTGCAATGGAAAGCTGCACCATTCTTGTGTGAATATTTTGGTCTTGCTCTTTCAGGACAGATGTGTTGTTTCGGGCTGTGCACTGCACATTTTGCAATAAATGATAGGGTTATGTCTACAGGTTAGACATTACTGGAACAGTGGAGAACTGAATTCCACAATGGCCTTAAGCTTTCTTTAGGTCAGAGAATATGTTATATTTTCAAAAGAGGCTATGCTGAATGGCCCACATTCATTCCAGAGTAGCAGGTCTGCCAGCCCGCCAGGCTAGTGCTCTTGCAGCCTGAGGTGAGAGCTGAGCTTTAACATTAACTAGGGAAGAAAAGCCCAAGCCTGACTCAGCCACCCACATCCTGCTCCCTCCTTGTGGTGAGCACAGCCTGGTGACAGTGAAAGAACACCAGCCTGCCTGCTGCTCACAGCCTGCTGTCACAGTGATGGAGTCCAGCAACGTCCAGGGGAAAAAAGTTGCCATTGTTGGAGGGGGCCTGGTAGGAAATGCAGCTTGTCTACTGTTTGATTGCTGGGAAGTGAGGGAGTGATTGCTCAGCAAAGTTGAGCCTGAATGTGAAGGTCTCTGGAAAGGCAGCTCTACTGCAAGAAGGATTCTTTGGGCACTGCAGACATAGCCAGGTCTTGCTTCTTAGCTGTGGGCAAGGAAAAATGCAGCCCAATCGCTTGCCTGCACTGCCTTTCCCTTTGTACAATGCTTGCTTGTTTGTAGCTCATTAAATGATTTGGTCTGCAGATTAACAAAATAGTGCCTTCTCTTCTGAGTTCAATGCTCCTTTTAACTCTATTTTTCTTAAAATTATTCTTCTACCAGATGGCAGATGTTATAATCTGTTGTGCTCTCATTGTAAGAGGCAGCAGGTCTTGTTTGCACAGCTGGGACTTTGTACCAAGAGAAGGGGTCTTCTCTGAGGGCAAGCTTTGCTGCTGAGGTACTGCAGATACCTAAAGGTCCACAAAATACACCCCTTGTTCAGGCACTGCATGTGTGCCATGACAGAAAAGCAGTGCACTTCTGGATACTTCTCTTTTCTTTCCTGTGAATGAGTGGAAGTTTTTGAGGGGAAAAACACTCAAGCTGGATTCTGTCCTCTCAGGGCACTTTAGGCAAGACCAGCCACTGGATCTTTCATTGCTTTAGCTGTTTCTGGCTTTAATCAAATCACTACTGTTGAAATACCTTATGAGGACTGAGACTTAGTAAATGTTAACATAAGAGAAAATGCCTTCCTTTTTCCATGTTCATTTGGGAGAACTTTTCTTCCATTGCTGCCTGCAGGGCTGTCTGTCTTTAAATGACAACTCTTGAAACTCCCACCTAACATTTTGGCTGTTAACTTCTTACTCCCCTGGCTGCTGGAAAAAGAGGAAGACTAAGAGTGTGTGGTTCTGCTAATTTTGACAGCAGTTAATGATAGAAATTTAAAACAAAAGAAGGTACACATTTAAGTGAGAACTGGGGTATGTGCTGTCCTTCTTAAGGTAGCATCTTACTTCTACACAGGTGCAGCTTCCTCCTCCCTCCCCCACTTTTTCCTGAGGAATGCTGCAGCAGTCTGAATTTCACTGAGGAAGATAAATGCAGAATTGCTGAACCACTGAGGTTGGAAAAGACCTTCAAGACCATTTTCGGTCATCTCTGAGAGGTCTTGGAGGACGGGGGAGGTGCCTGAAGACTGGAGGATAGCCAATGTCTCTTCGGTCTTCAAAAAGGGCAAGAAGGAAGATCCAGGCAATTATAGGCCAGTCAGCCTCACCTCTGTCCCTGGAAAGGTGATGGAACAGCTTGTGCTGGATGTCATCTCCAGACAACTCGAAGAAAAGGAGGTTATCAGGAATAGTCAGCATAGGTTCACCAAGGGGAGGTCGTGCTTGACCAACCTGGTAGCCTTCTATGATGTTATCTCTGGCTGGGTGGATGGGGGGAGAGCAGTGGATGCCTACCTTGATTTCAGCAAGGCTTTTGATGCTGTCCCCCACCACATCCTTATAACAAAGCTGAGGAAGTGTGGGATAGATGAGTGGACAGTGAGGTGGGTTGAGAACTGGCTGACTGGCAGAGCACAGAGGGTCGTCTTTGGCTGTGCAGAGTCTGGCTGGAGGCCTGTAACCAGCGGTGTTCCTCAGGGGTCGGTGCTGGGTCTGGTCTTGTTCAACATCTTCATCAATGACCTTGATGAGGGGGTGGTGGCCACCCTCAGCAAGTTTGCTGATGATACGAAGTTGGGAGGATTGGCTGACATGCCTGAAGGCCGTGCTGCCATTCAGCGAGAGCTGGACAGGCTGGAGAGCTGGGCAGCAAGAAACCGGATGAGGTTTAACAAAAGCACGTGTAGAGTCTTGCATCTGGAGAGGAATAATTGCATGCAGCAGTACAGGCTGGGGGATGAGCTGCTGGAGAGGAGCTCTGCAGAGAGG